TTGTCGCGCTTTACAGAGAAACTGTAAGGGCAGCCTGTGGAGGAGTAGAGGATATTCTTTGGCTTCCCCCGCTAGGCCCTGTCCGCCGGGCGGGTTAGGGTCGTGGCTGCCTGCCCGCGCGCCGCTGCCCCTCTGGGAATTTTGTCCGGGAAACTGGCATGGGGCCCTGGCTCTCCCTTCGCCCTCCGCGCACACGCGGACGAGGCCTTAAATCCGCAGCCTTAGAGGCCCTGCGACTCTGAAGCCGGGCACCGCCAACAGCTTGCGATTCTCACCTTTAAAAGTCGCCCCCTTGCCCCTCCGCCTGCCCTCGGAAGCGCGAACCCGCCTCTACTCCACCACCTGTTTAAGTTCCTCCCCCTCGCCGCTCCCCCAGGCCTCCGCCCCGGTGCAAATAACCAGCAAACTAACTTTTCCACAGTTGAAAGCCGCGGCCCGCGAGGCCGCGGTGGGAGGGGAAAGCGGGGCGTGTCTGGGGGGCGGGGCCCCGAGCACTCCGGAAGTTGCCCCGCCCTTGAGGCTCCTGGGCCAGGAAAGTGAGGAGAGGGTCCGGGCCTACTTTCGGCCGGGTGGGGCACTTCCCTACTCTTAGTTCCCGCGTCTCTGCAGGGCGCCTCGGCCTGGCCTCTAGGCTAAGTTCGAGCCCACTGTTCCTGGCGTTTCCCTTCATTACTCCCGGGCCCCTGAAGCCGAACGCTTTCCCAGAAGCGCGCACATCCGCTTGCTTTCCCTGCGGCTGGGCTTTGTTCGGGGACGGCAAGGGAGGAGGCGGGAGGCTGGTGAGGTTTTCTGGAAAAGGGGCTTGTCCCGAGGAAGAAGTGCCCCAGAGCCCTGAGAGCAAACGCTCTGGGGAAAAGAAACTTTCCTTGTCCCTTGAATGTTGCTCAAATTACCTAAAATTATTTTTTCAGCGCTTGTGTTTTAAAGTCGCAGGGTAACGATTATCTTAAGACTTAACATCAGCGCTGCTCATTTTACGTTGGTGGAGACGTGTTTTTTTCCTTTGCATTTAGGGTGGACCGGGTCTGCGACCCGTCTCCCTCCCTTCCAAGATGGTGTGGGGAAGTGGCCGACGCCCCCCGCCGGACTCACGCCCTTCTACTCCTCCGCGTCGGGTCCGTTGCGGGAGCTACCGACAGGGGAGCGAGGCTGGAGCTGGACGAGGGCTGCGCCCAAGGCCTCCAAAAACCGCGGCCCAGCGGGGAGGGCCCCAGGCGCGCGCTTTTCCAGTTCCTTCGAAAGCGCGGGGCTGAGGTCGCGGCTGTGGACCCTCAGATGAAGCCGTGCTGTAGCGACACCTCAACCCCACAAAAGGCTGGCGCTGTCTTGTATCCAGGTTGGGTCTGAGGAATCCGCAAGGGGGAGAGCGCTGGCTCCTAGACGTGCCGCTGCTGGCTTCGAGAGTTCGAGAACATGAAGGACCTGGTTGCTCTTGCCCGGTCGGCTTAGGGCCAGTGAGGTCACAGGCCGTCTGCTCTCCCTGTTTGTCCCCAAAGGCCTCGGCACCTGGGGATCAGGAGCAGGCCTCAGACTGCGACCCGTCTCTTCCCCTTCCAAAATTATGTAGGGACAACAGTCCAGGACCATCCCCCGTGTTCAGTGGTGTCCTGGGCCGCTCGATGCGGATTCAGTCGTCTTCCCGACCCCCAGTGGCCTCTGCTCTCCACCCCTCACCCCGGAGGGCGGCTTCGGGGATCTCATGGGGGGTTTGCGTGAGTCTGTCCCCAGCCAACTGAGGGAGAACCAGGACACTATTGCCATCTAAAGAAATTGATTGCTGGATGCCCCACCCCCTGGCTAGACATTCCCCCAAGTCCTTTCAATTTGAAGCTGGCCGAAGAGCGAGGTCGAGAAGCCGACCGGGTGAGAGCTGAGTGGTTAAGTTCACGCACAGGGAGAGGGGGCAAGTTTTCCTGCTTTCACAGTGGTTCCTCATGCTCAGGCTTCCAGTGTCTGCCTGCACTGACATCACCGTGATCGTGATGAAAACAGTAAAATAGGAACCCTGACCTCCCCTTCCATGAGAATCCAACAGAGAATTTCCTGAAGCGTTATACATCCGGGACAATCTGAAACTGTCGTTTTGATTAAGTATTAGTTGGGATGAGGAGCACCGACCAGGACTCCCAGATCTGGAGTATCACTTTCTCAGCAAGGGCGCCTTCATCCTGACCTTTTACATATACACACACCCAGCGATTGTGTGTGCCGAGAAAGACCCACAAACGCATATTATTTTTCCCTCTTCCACGATTATCTGCCACAATTCTACTCAGTTAATTGCGGTTTGAGAACACACCATCCAGAGGAGAGCACCAATGGATCTAGTCTAGTGAGGTTACATTTACTTGTAATCCTCCCCCTTCCCTTTCCAATTTCTTTGATGATTTTTCCCATAAGTGTGTAAGCTACTGGGACTTAGTAGAAGCAGGCCGCTCCTCCTAAATGTGATTTGGACCATATACTTTCTACATTCATTCCCGCTTCGGCTTTTCTTCTCTGCACTAACTGCTAACACGTTATAGTCACCTTGAAATTTCCTCTGCTATTTTCCAATTAAAAGCTTAATAGCCCTGGAAACGGAGTTCATGTGGTGAAGTTTACCATAGCCCCTTGTTCTGAAAGGCTTTCTGCTGGGATCCCATTATGTGCTTGAATAAACCCTTTCTGCAAACAGAAATGGGACTCGGGGTTGTCAGGTGTTGGGTTACAATAGACTTTGAGGCAGGGGACATTTTACCAACATAAATACAAACCTGTCCCTATAGGGAGATGTTGTCAAATACTGGGATATGGAAAACATTCCCATCAAATATGAGAAAAGGATTACTGCACTATATCAAATGAGTATTTAGATCTCAGCCCCCGATGTGCACCAGAGTGAAACGGGCCCCCGGGACCAAATAATGCCAGACTGTTTGAGTGGCAACGAGATAGGGTGGCTAGGTGACCGACGGGGGAAAAGGGGTCGCCTTGGTAGTGAGAATGCCCCCACAAACCTGGTGCAGAGCTCTTCTGCTTTCCTTTTAAAAATTTACTCATGCTCAAGTTCTTTATACTTACTCGTTTCACTGACTATTTGAAGAAAATCGGAAGAAATTTGGTTTTGAAAAAAGTCGTTGGTCCCCACATTTCCAAGAGATCCGGAGGTTTCAGCGCAATAGTTTTCAGATAAGGTGTCATTTGAGGCCCTCTATATCTCAGCACGTTAAATGACTTGTGTCCAGCTCCCCACTTCCTAGCCTCGGGCCTATACAGGGCTGGGGGCGACCTCTGCCTCCTGTCCCCAAAGCTGACGAAATTCTTTCCATTTATGTTTTAGGGCTTGTTTTCCTAGAGAAGGTTGAGACTAGAGGAAGGATTAAAGTGGTGGCGGAAGGGGCAAGACCGAGAGGTCCCTACCCCACGCGGCTTTGGAGGATGGCCTCCCAAGGTTAGCATTCGAATGCTAGAGCTACTTGTCCACACTCCACCAGGTCAGTCTTCCGCGATCCCCACCTCCCGGACGCGTATGAAACGGGGACAGCTAAGGGCTTCAAGGGAAACACACAACTGGGTTCGGTTTTCCACCCTCCTCTCCTCCGCGAATCAGCCTTCTAGGCAGAGGGTTGGCTGCTAGAATGCCTGGTGGTGCTTCCCTTGAATTAACAGCAAACACCAGAGGAACATTTGCGGGTTGCTTGCTTACTTCCAAGGCAGTACAGAGAAAAGCGGCCTCCCCGAGGGGACAAGGGCCTCTGTGCCCACGAGGGGTCGGGCATTGCAGCGGACTTGCCTGCTCTCATCTAGCATTCGATTCCCCACCAGGAGATGAGCTTGGTGCACACTCTCAGAAGCGTATCCAACGAAGGCTCTGGAACTGCCCCGCTTCGCATAGAGCTATTGTGCTGCCCTGCAGTGTATCCACCTGTTTTTTTTTTTGGTTTTTGTTTGTTTGCCGATGGGCAGGGGGGAGGTGCGAGCGGGGAGGGCCTTCCTCGTGCATATATAGCGATAGCCTGCACTAGGCCAAACCCACCACTCCTGGGGGAATGGTAACACGCAAATAATCTAAACAAAGTTTTCTGCTGTCATCTTGTGCAAGGACCCTCTCCCTCAAGACATCTATGACTGGGGTCTATGGGTTAAGAAGGTGAAAAAGTGGCCCCATCCCATATCCATAACTAAACCATAGAATCCGTGGGGATTTGAATTGAGTGGCTGGCGCAAGACCTCCGTTTGCTTTCAGTGGCTGCTGGGAGACAGGAAAGGATATCGGTAACTTTGGGGGCGCTAATGTGGCTTCTGCGTCTGCCTCTTCAAAGTTTATACCCGGCGCTTAACAAATCCTTTACGGGAACACGTACGTCCCTGACCTTTCAGGATACTGTTTTATATTAAAACATAGGAGGGTAGAAAAGGAAAATTCGCCTGCAAAATGGGTTGTCATCCTTGGGCCTGCAGATCTCCAAAACCATTTTCTTCTAAAGCAACAAAAGAGAAAAAAATACGTTCTAAAAGGAAATTACGAAAATAACCTAACTTTGCTAAACCAACAGTACTCCACTCCCCTATCCTAAACTCCACCCAGGTCCGGGGTGCACCCGCAACACTCCAGTAGGTTCGAGTTCTCCCGGAGCTGAGCTTCTGCGGCCAAATGTCGGGATAAAAGCGGCCTTGGACTCGGAAAAACGCGGCCAGATCTGGACTGGAGGGAGGAGAAGAGAGAGAACGGGAGCGGCCACCTCACTCGCTTACAGGCACCCCCGCCCTCACTCCCGCAGGTCCTCCCCTTCTCCGCCCCGCTAGCACCGCCGCGTTCTGGAGCGCCGCAGTCTCCCGCTGCGGGCTCGGGTAGCGGAGAGGGCTTGGAGGAGGGGGCCGTGAGCGCCCCCGCGAGAGTGGCCTGGCTGCAGGTGGCAAGGAAGGTGAAGTGCAGGCACCCGAGGGGCGCAAAGAAGGAGAAAGGCGTGGGGCGGGGAGTGCAAGGAGACAGGGACCTCAGGCGTGGGGGTGGCGGTAGGAAGGAGGAGGGGTTGGGGGAGGGCGGCGGAGGAGGTGTTGGGTCCCGCCAGCGCGCGAGAAAGCTGCAGAAGAGCTGGCTCAGACCTTAATCAGAGCTCTCGCCGGCTCTTTGCAGCCGCCGCAGCGCTTCCGCTAAGAAGGACGTGCCGACCCGGCTGCGCGCCCAAGGCAGCGGCCCGCGTCGGGGTTGGCTGGGCGTGAGCTGGGAGACCGAGCTGTGAGCGCGAAGGGAGCTGGAGAGACGGCTGCTGCACCTCCAGTCGCCCCGGAGCACACACGACCACCGGGGCAGCGGGATCAAGGGCCGCGCCTCCCGGAGGCCGCCCCTAAGCGGGCCTCGCAGCCCCGCCGTCCAGCGGTCCCTGGCCCGCTCCCGCCGCCAGCCCGCCAACTCATCCGGGAGCCCGGGGCATGAACGGCTACGGCTCCCCCTACCTGTACATGGGCGGCCCGGTGTCGCAGCCGCCGCGGGCGCCCCTGCAGCGCACGCCCAAGTGCGCGCGCTGCCGCAACCACGGCGTACTGTCCTGGCTCAAGGGCCACAAGCGTTACTGCCGCTTCAAGGACTGCACCTGCGAGAAGTGCATCCTCATCATCGAGCGGCAGCGGGTCATGGCTGCGCAGGTGGCGCTGCGCCGGCAGCAGGCCAACGAGAGCCTGGAGAGCCTCATCCCAGACTCGCTGCGCGCTCTCCCAGGGCCCCCGCCCCCTGGGGACGCCGCCGCCGCCCCGCAGCCGCCGCCGGCCTCTCAGCAGTCTCAGCCGCAGCCGCCGCGCCCTGCTGCCGAGTTGGCCGCGGCCGCCACGCTGCGCTGGACCGCCGAGCCGCAACCCGGGGCTCTGCAGGCGCAGCTCGCCAAGCCAGGTAAGAGTGTGTGAGGTGCGGGAGTTTGGCGGGGCGCGTGGGCGAACTTCGGAGTGTCTGCTGCAGCTCCACTTGGAGGCCTGGAGGCAAAGTTTTGGGAAGTGGGCCTCGCGGGGCTTTCCTTCCCACTCTCCGCCAGGCCGGGGCTTCCTCTCCCGGGAGAAGCCGGCTGAGTCTGGACCCAGAGCGAGTAGCACTCGCGCCCGCAGGGAAGGCGCCTCCGGGGAGCCAAACGACGGGACTGTGCGTCAGGATCGCCAGGTGCCTTCCCAGATTAAAGGGCTCGGAACGTGTCAGATTGAGCAGGGAGACAACGGAGTTGAGACAGGACCAAATTAAAACCCAGGCGCTCACACTTACCACGGGGGGGGGAGTAAGGTTTTCCTGGCTGCAGGCTTTAGAGGTCCTCGCCATTCGGGAGTTGGAATGGGTAGGTAGGTGTAGGGAAGGCGCCAAAGCCCAACACTCCTAGCTGGTTGTGCTTTTCCGCCTGCCTGGCCCGGCCCAGGGCCCAGGAAAATTTGAGTGAGGACAAGTATCCAGCTCTCAGAACCCTGGCCTTTCTAGCTTTGCTCCGTGGCCTTCAGACTCTTGTAACTGGTGAAATAAGTTCCATTTAGCAATGATAGTAAAAAGGTCCCGAAAGGCTCCTGAGCTGATAATGGGACCAAGAATCTGGTGCGCCCAGAATTCACTCCTTTGCAGAACCTCCTAGATCCTTTAACACTGTTCCCCAGGCCGCCCTCAGCTCTCTTCATGGTTTAAAAAAATTTAAAAAAACAAAATCTGTTTCCATCCAGGCCTCCTGAGCTTGGCAGGCCTGAGTTGAGTCTCTCAGTCTCTCTCTTCCTGGGGAATTTCTGGCTTGCGGTTCTGCCCAGCGCAAGAGCTCTTTTGATGGCTCTTGGAATAAAGTAGACATGTGTTTGGTGTTTCTCCTTAACTGGGGCAAGTGTACAAAGGAACACAGCCCACCTTCTCCCGGAAGGGGAAGGGGGCATGCTGGAATTAGGAGTGGGAAGGTCCTGAGCCCTCCTGCAGGTAGTACCGTGGCAAAACTGGTACCTACACTGACCTGCCAACTCCCTAAAGACGGTACCCCTAGCTTCGGGAGAAAGGCTTTCAGGAGCCCAGGAGTGCTTTGTCTGGATCCTGTGGAGCTGAGGAAGTGAGGTGGGACTCACCTGTTTCGTAGTGAGTCGACGGCTGACTGGCAGGTGGAGTTCTGCTGCCCTTTCAGCAACGCTTTCCAGGCCTGAAGCTCTGAGAACAGCCTGTGTGAGAGTAGAGCTGGGAATTTTAAAGCCTGAAGAGAGTTTGCTGAACTTGGATTTTGTGGATATTTAATCCAAGTTAGCATATAAACATTTCTCAGGAATGCTCGCCAGTTGTCTCTCTTTTGTCTCTCATCTTTTTTATATTTATGGAGTTGCCACAGACGAAGGGGAGGGAGGAGAAAAAGGTTTTTTTTTTTTTTTTCTCCCATTGGTTTGAATAAATAACTAGGAAGAGTTTGGTCTCAGCTCTAGAAGTGGATTTGTACCAATATATTTTCTTAATTTTTTCCGTTTCCAGCTTTTCTGGTTCCGTTTCCCCCAGGACTAGGGCAGAGGCCGGAGTTAATATCAGAGGTAGCATTTTGCAGTGGCCATCTGCCCAGCAGCATTCCTGTGACAGGGCATTGGGTTCTGTGGTCTTTGTCCACGGAGATTCCTTTCACATCCTGTGTTCTTCAGTGTTCTTTGGGATAGCTAAAGTTCATGATTTCTAAAGAGTCAGGAAACTGAAAACACAACCCCAGGAGGAGGAGGAGGAGGAGTGAGGGCAGGCAGGAAGGCGGAGTAGGCAGCGGCAGCAGGATACATGCTTTGGGAGAAGAGAAAAAGGAAACGGATTTCAACTGGACAAACCAGAGCTGTGCTCTCTGTTTTACTCCTACTTAGTACTCAGGGATAGCCTGAGCCTTCCAAATTGAAAACAAGTAATTGCAAAGGAGAATAGGATTTATCACAAGGAGAGGTCAAAGTGACGACTTTGGGGGACTGAGGCATCAGGGACCAAGGGCTCAGTTTCTAGCTGGTCACCCCCCCATACCTTGTACATTGACGTACACAACTTTTGTTTTCTTCTTTCAATTGCTTTGACCCCATCATTCCATTTTTTTAAAAAAAGTCAATCACCACTCTGATGGGGAGTGGGGAGAAAGGTAGGATAATAATAGATAATTGTTTAGGAAGACAAACATACAAGTGCATCCATTCTACACAGCGCTTGTAGAAATAAAGTCCATTTGGGGTTTAAGTTGAAGAAAACTACTCACGGAGACTGCCTGCTGCTATAGGTATTATACCCTTTTTGCAGTTGTTCTGATAATGTATTTGTGTACAGCATTCCATATTTATTTAGAAGCATATCAGAACTACTCCTGGATAAGTAGTTCAGTAAGTGCAGAGAGTAAGCAAAGCTCTGTTGGGATGGTAGGTCCACATGTGCATTAAGTATACAGACCATCAGAAATCTTTAGATATCTGCTGGCAGTGTAGATCTATTACTTTGTGAACTTTGATTTTAAAATGTGGTTTGTCTTTTTGCAGGACAAAGGGCCTCTTTAGTACATAGCTGTGGAGAGAGATTTTTTTTCTTGTATATAAAAGCACATGGAGTCTTTCCTCTCCAGAAATCTTTGAGAAAAGCACATGCCTTAAGGAAGAGGATGTTTGCTGTGAATCACTGGAGGAAAACCACCCAGTTTAGGGAGTGACGTGTTCACATCAAAACTCAGTTTTGTAACTGGAAGAAATTTTTCTCAAATTCTGCTTTAGATTCTTTAAAGAAATTGGGTTATTTTATCTAATGGTGTAGTATGTTGAATATCCCTTTCAATGTGTGGTGTTTTTAAGGAGAATTTTCATATTCTAGTGGTTTTTACTTCTAGTTATGAAGTATTCTTTTTTCTTTTTGAATGTGGATTTCTCCTGCTCTTTGATTACCATCATGTTGGACCTGGAATTAATCATTAGATTTTGATTGAGCCCAACATTTTGATTTAAGCTATATATAGATATATTAAGCTATCTATATCTATATATAGATATATTAAGCTATCTATATATAGATATATTAAGCTATCTATATCTATATATAGATATATTAAGCTATCTATATATCGATATATTAAGCTATATATATCTATAGACATATTAAGCTATCTATATATAGATATACCAAGCTGTATATATCTATTAAAAGCTATATATATAGTTTAAATTTAAATTGTAATTTAAGCTATATATATAGTTTAAATTTAAATTGTAATTTAAGCTATATATATAGTTTAAATTTAAATTGTAATTTAAGCTATATATGTGTGTATATATGTACATATACATACACTATTTAATTCATTTATTCTTCTCCTAAATTCCCTCTACGTTCTTCTCACACTCCTTCTCCCCATGAAAATATAGGAGGCATGAAGATCTTCCAACTGTTAGTGTATCTGAATCAGCAGTTTCAACCAGCCTAGCCAGTCTTTCAGGACGTGGGCTCAAGAGCTGAGGGAAGGGTCACTGCCAAGGTGAAAAGCTAAAGTTACATTCTTTTGTTGTGGCTCCCTTCCCCACCCCCAACTTTTCCTCCAGGGGAGTGTCCTGGGTCACCTTAGACTGTGGTGCGATGAGAAGAAAGATCTGTGGTTGTAGACTCTTCCTAGGTCTCCATCTGCCATCAAAATGAATATGTACACGCATTCTTTTAAATGCTCTTAAAAGGAAAAAGAAATAAAAAACATAGTTGGTTAGGAATAAGAGAGCAGGATCAAATGGGAAAGTAGGATCTTCTTTCCTGATTATTTCTTGGGGGATGGGGGTGGAACAAACAAGATAACTATAGGGGGAGAAGTAAGGAGATTTTGGAAAACTGCCTTTATTTTATTTTTCCTCTTGCCCTGCCCCTCCTAGCATCTTTATGCTTGCCTCTGAGCTTTTCTGCTCCAGCTTGACTGGGTCCTGCAAGGTGCACTTCCTTTTTTAAAATTTTTTTTTTCCCCAAAGAGAAGCACCTGCAAGTGTAATGGTTGTTACGGAACACTCGTCCAGGCCAGGATGAGAAGCCCTCTGACTGTTGGCTAGAAGGAAATGAAAAGCAGGAAATACTTGAAAACCATTTATGAAGTGTACCTGTGAATTGAAAAACAGGGTCTCATTTTAAGATGGCTTGATTTGAGGGTGAGGGTCTTGACTCAGTTGCATTTTAAAAAACAAAACCCATCCGAATAAAAAGGAATACGCATACAGGCACTAAGGTCTCTTCCAAACCCCACCCCAGGGCTGGCTCTTGGAGCTGGGATGCTGCCGGGGATGGGTCTTCCCAGCTCTTGGCCTGGCTGGTTTGCACGCAGTGCAGATGGTGTGTATGTGTTGTGGAGGATTGCGGCAGCTGGCTCAGGACTGGGACCCTGGCCACAGTGGGCTCAAAGTAGGGGCAAAGATAGGGGGCAGCGCCTCCCTGGGGCTGCACTGGACTGCCGTCCCCTTGCACCAGGGGGTGGGAGCTGCAGTTGAGCCCAGCTGTTTGCCGGCTCTTTCCTTGGTCGCTGTCAGGAAGCAGCTCACTAGGCAGCTCAGGAACCGCCCAGAGACAGGCACATCCCTTGCCTCTCCCTCGTCCAGCTCTTGGGCCTCCGCTCCTCTCTGCTCTTCCTGAGCTTCACTACCCTGTCCTTCCCAAGGCAGGAGTCCCAAGGTGAGTTGCCAGCTTTTGCAAAAATCATGCAAACAAAAAAATAGGATGCCAGTATTGCATGGGACATACTTTTACTAGAAAGCCTTCATTGTTTATTTGATGTTCCCACTTAACTGGAGATGCTGTTATTTTATCTGGCAACCATAGGCCTAGGCCTTCCTCACCCAGCCCTGGTAACCACACAGGGCGCCCCTTGGCGGTGGGGTCGCCTGTGCTCATCTCCTAGTTCTTTCTCTGCAGAGCCCGAGCTGCCTGGG